GAGCCTTCTTTGGAAGTTTGTAAGCGGAGGCTCGATGGCCGTCCGGTAGGGTGCCCAGCTCTGAATTGGGAAATACCTGGAGATGTGGGAGGCGGAGCCTGAGGAGGGCGGGGTTTCGGGAGGGGAGGGACTTCAGCGGGGTAGAATGTCATCGAGTCCACTGTCCAAAGTGGCCATTTTTCTCCCCTGGGAATCAGCTGGGAAGCAGGAGACCTCCAGCCACTGCCTGGAGGCTGGCAACCCTTCCACCTGGCGGCAACGCCGACTCTATGACTCACTACGGATTTAGGCAGATCGTGAGGATAGGGCTGCCAGAGGGCCGCGGAAGTTGTCGTCCATGGCCAGTTCCGTGTAGTGGTTAGGAGCGCAGTCTCTAATCTGGGAGAACCGGGTTGGATTCCCCACTCCTCCACGTGCAGCTGCTGGTGTGGCCTTGGGCCAGTCACAAGTTCTCTCAGAGCTGTTCTCTCAAGAGCAGTTCTCAGTTAGAGCTCTCTCAGCCCCACCGACCTCACAGGGTGTCTGTTGTTTTTTAATATTTTTTTTTATTTTCAAAACAAACAATCATAAAATTGGGGTGCAACACTTCATATCAATCTTTCCCTCTGTTATAGTACCTCGTACGTTATCTGAATCTATATCATTTCCCCACTTTGTGCTATCATATAAAATGTGCAAATATATGAATACGCAATTCCTTATTTTCTACTCATATGGACTTTGTCTAAGCATTTTATTAAACTCTTTCATTAGATATATAAAAACGTACAGTAGGATCTCACTCCATCAAAAGTCTCAGGGACTCTCTCAGCAGAAATATGGTAGGATCGACCTCCATCAAAAATCTCAGGAATTCCCTCAGGAATTTCACATCCTTTTTGTGAGTTTCATCTCCTTCTTGATTTTCTAATTTCTCCTCTTAAGTCTTAGGTTCTTAATTTTGTGTCTTTTTCCTTTATAAGTGTAGAAATTATCTTCCCTCACTGGGTGTCTGTTGTGGGGAGGGGAAGGGAAAGGAGTTTGTAAGCCGCTCTGAGCCTCCGGTAGTGAAGGGCGGGGTATAAATCCAATGTCTTCGTAGTCTTCTTCCCTCAAACCTCTCCCATCAAAAACAAGGCAAGGTTCTAGTCCAGTGGTGGCGAACCTATGGCACGGGTGCCAGAGGTGGCACTCAGAGCCCTCTCTGTGGGCGCCCGTGCCATCACCCCAGCCAGGCCCAGACCATCATTAAAGTGTCGAATTCTCTGCCAAATAATTTTAAGTAAATGAAAGCATTTGGGATTGCTTTCCTTACTTTGTTTGGATCATCTTAAGTTAACGTATGAGTTGTTTTTTCTAAAGTAAAACCTCAGCATTCAGGTTAAATTGCCGTGTTGGCACTTTGCGATAAATAAGTGGGTTTTGGGTCGCAGTTTGGGCACTCAGGTCTCTAAAAGGTTCGCCATCACTGTTCTAGTCCTTCTTGTTACAGAGGTAAACTTGGAAGCAGACCTCCGGAAGATCGGTAGGGTGGACTTTGGAGCCGACTCGCTTAGGAGCAGGCCGCGATCGGGGCTCCTGCCCCATGAGACGCCCACCGCCGAAAGGGAAGCTCCGGCCTTCCCTGGGGCCTGCCTTGACATTTCTCCCGCTTGGACACCGGCCACCACACTCCTCCCCCCCCCATGCAACCTTCACGCTGTGCCAAAGGGATTGGGGCGGGCGCCGGCCAATTAGGAGCCAGGAGCGGGAAAGCCGAAAGCCATTCCAGCTGTGACGCCTCCGACCTCTTGACTGGAGGCCTGCACATCTGGTTTCCATCAATCCTGGGAAATTCTTTGTTTCCCTCTACTCTCCAAATGCGGACACGTTTGACGGTTTTTGAACTTAAGAGGGTGTGTGTGTGTGTGCCGAAGGGAGATCGGAGCAAGCCTGTGACAGGGAGAGGAAACCCCCTCGAAGCAAGATAAGCCTTCTTTGGGGAAAGCGCGTGGTAAACAAGCGAGAGGGGAAGGGGGCCCAGCCAGCAAGGAGAGGGTTGTCCCCCCCCCCATATATAGTTAAACTGACACTGTTTTTCTTCATACACATTAGGTAATGTGCCGGAGATGGAAAAAAGTACGCTCCGTTTTCCATGCTGAGCCCAAAAGACAAGGAATGCCATTTGACCTAACAGGGAGATAAAACTATGGCTGCGATCACACGCACAATTAGCCCCGCCATAGGCGCAAACGCCGGGCGGATTCAAAGGGCACGATCGGATGACAACATCTGGGAAGCGCACCCACAGCCATCGGCAACCCGCTCTGCTCCGCCGCAGAAGCGGGGTGAAAAGACACCGGGGAACCCCCCGCTAGTAAACAGGTTGTGACCAATGTTCCCTCTAAGCTGAGTTAGTGTGAGCTAGCTCACAGTTTTTCAGCCTCCGGCTCCCACCTTGTTGTCTTAGCTCAGGAAGGATGGATCCAGAGCAAACTAATTTATGCAGTAGCCCAATCGCTTGCTCACAGCTTTAATGCCAGTAGCTCATAAAGTAGAATTCTTTCTCACGAGACTCCACAGCTTAGAGGGAAAATTGGTTGTGACGGGCCACGGACGGACTTTCTCCCCTGTCCGATCGCTCCAGCGCGCTATCATGCCGTCGGGATGGTCTGATCCAGCCATCCCGACTCCATGCCGTTGTTTCCCCCCCTCCCTTCACAGTCCACAGGGAACCCTCGCTGCAGAGATGCGATTCATCGATTCCCCGTTTAAGCGAATCGGAAACAAACAGGGCGGGGGGGACCCGACTCACCCGCAGTTGCGTCTGATCATGCCGTGGTGGGCTGCACCCGCAGCTTCCAAGGACTGTGTGATCGCGCAACGGTGGGTCAAACTCCTCCGGAGGGGATAGCCTCGCTTCAACCAGGATTCTCCTCCTCTTCTCTTCTGCCCCGTAGAAGACTGTTTGGGGAAACTGTAACAGATCTTGGGATATATACGAAAGCTTTTCCTGGTTGTTGTTGTTTTTACTATGTATCTGAGTGGTTAGGAGCACAGACTCTAATCTGGGAGAACCAGGTTTGATTCCCCACTCCTCCACATGCAGCTGCTGGTGTGACTTTGGGTCAGTCACAAGCTCTTTTGGAGCTGTTCTCAGAAGAAGAAGATGATGATATTGGATTTATACCCCGCCCTTCACTACTCAAAGGTGTCTGAGAGCTCCGGCATCTCCAGTTAAAAGGTGCTTGGAGGGGGGCAACAGTGGGAGAGCTTTGTAGCTGTTGCCTCTCAAGCACCAAGAAGAAGAAGAGGAGGAGGAGGAGGAGATTGCATTTATACCCCACCCTTCACTACCCAAAGGTGTCTCAGAGCGGCTTACAAACTCCTTTCCCTTCCCCTCCCCACAACAGACACCCTGTGAGGTAGGTGGGGCTGAGAGAGCTCTTGACAGAAACTGCTCTTTTTCAAGAACAGCTCTTATCAGAACTACGGCTTGTCCAAGGTCATCCAGCAGCTGCGAGTGGAGGAGTGGGGAATCAATCAACAGACACCCTGTGAGGTAGGTGGGGCTGAGAGAGCTCTTGACAGAAACTGTTCTTTTTTCCAGAACAGCTCTTATCAGAACTATGGCTTGCCCAAGGTCATCCAGCAGCTGCAAGTGGAGGAGTGGGGAATCAAACCCAGTTCTCCCAGATTACAGTCCACGCACTTAACCACTACACCCAACTGGCTCTGGAGAAGGAGAAGGAGAGAAGCAGGAGGAGGAGAAGGAGAGATTGAATTTATACCCCGCCCTTCACTACCTGAGGAGTCTCAGAGTGGCTGACAATCTCCTTTCCCTTCCTCTCCTCACAACAGACACCCTGTTAGGTAGATGGTGCTGAGAGAGCTCTCTGAGGAACTGCTCCTGAGAGAACAGCTCTGAGAGAACTGTGACTGGCCCAAGGTCACAGCATCAGCCGCACGTGGAGGAGTGGGGAATCAAAGCCAGTTCTCCCAGATTAGAGTCCCCACTCCTAACCACGACACCAAACTTAGCAACCTGCTACTAAAACGGATCACAAAGGCCCAGGCCTGCAGCGAACTGGCCAGAGCAGTCCTCTGTTTCGCCAGCCAGCCTTCCCGCGTGCAAACAGTTCTCAAATCATTCGCTTCCCCACCTCTTTGGACATCGTCGGGACGCTTTCACACGGTCCTCTTCTCTCCCCCGCCCCCTAGGACAGAGCGGCCTGGGGAAGTCAACCATGGTGAACACCCTTTTCAAATCCAAGGTCAGCCGCAAGTCCTCCTGCGTGAGTTACGAGGAACGCATTCCGAAGACGGTACAGCTGCAATCTGTCACCCACGGTAAGGACTCGGAGGGAACCCTCTTGCACAGGGGTGTCAAACATACGGGCCGTGGGCCGGAACTGGCCCATCCAGGGCTCTTCTCCGGCCTGCGAGCAACTGATTTCCTTTATTGCCAGATGACCGAGCATGTACATTATGTCCCTGTACACTGTCCCAAAGCTAATGCGTAACGGACAGTGGAAATGGGAGGGCATCAAAGAGACACTAAGGAAATACTATAAAGAGTGATAATGTTTTAAGCATGTTTGTGTTTTGAGTAAAAAATAATATTGTTCATTGGGTATGCCTGTGCCCTTTATACTTTATATCTCACATACCTATGGCACACAAGGCCCAGCCCGACAAAGTTACATTTATGTCAGATCTGGCCCTCGTAACAAATGAGTCCGACACCTCTGCGTCTTGCGGTTTCCCCTTTCTACCATTCTTATCAGCACCAAGCCCAAGATCATTACGCTAGGGCCATGGCTCGGTGGCAGAGCCTCTGCTTGGCATGCGGAAGGTCCCAGGTTCAATCCTCGGCATCTCCAGTTGAAAGGACCAGGCAGGAGATGATGGGAAAGACCTCAGCCTGAGACCCTGGAGAGCCATAGAGAGGGGCTGTGGCTCAGTGGCAGAGCCTCTGCTTGGTATGCAGAAGGTCCCGGGTTCAATCCCCGGCATCTCCAGTTAAAAGGACCAGGCAGCAGGTGATGAAAAAGACCTGCTCCTGAAACCCCGAAGAGCTGTGAAGAGGGGCTGTGGCTCAGTGGCAGAGCCTCTGCTTGGCAGGCAGAAGGTCCCCGGTTCAATCCCTGGCACCTCCAGTTAAAACATTGGACAGGAGGTGATGGGAAAGACCTCTGCCTGAGACCCTGGAGAGCTGCCGCCAGTCTGAGTAGGCAATACTGACTCTTGATGGACCAAGGGTCTGATTCAGTAGACAGCCGCTTCATGCATTCCTCTGTGTCCGGCTGCCGCCTCCCCTCTTACTTGTGTCAGGGCCTGCACTGGGTACAGAACTGGGTGGGAATTTAGCCTCTGTCTGGGCTGTTCGTGACCAAGCGAATTCTAGGGAGGCCCAGTAATATTGGCACAGGGCCGACGGAGCTGCCCGCGTCCCGGAGGAGCCAATGATCGAACCTGGGTCCTTCAGCAAGCAAGGCGGGTGTTTTAACTGCTGAGCTATGGCAGGCCTGCCTCTTAAATAGGGTTCTCAGCTCCAGGTTGGGAAAGACCTGTAGATTTTGGGGGTGGAGCCTAAGGAGGGCGGAGTTTGGGGAGGGGAGGGACTTCGATGGGGCACCAATGCCATAGAGTCCACCTTCCACCTGTCACATAGAGATCAGTTGTCATCACTGTTCCCTCTAAGCTGAGTTAGTGTGAGCTAGCTCACAGTTCTTTAGCCTCCGGCTCACACATTTTTGTCTTCGCTCAGGGAGGAAGGGCTCCAGAGCAAACTGATTGATGCAGGAGCCAAATCGCCTGCTCACAACTTTAATGCCAGCAGCTCACAAAGGAGAATTTTTGCTCACAAGACTCCGCAGCTTAGAGGGAACATTGGTTGTCATAGTGGGAGACCTCCAGCCGCCACCTGGAGATTAGAAAT